TTATTTCTCAATTGACACGGTTTTCTTTGTTATTCACAAGGCTTTATTTTTGTTATAACCCTCATAAATGCGAGGTCAATATATAGTTATTAACCCGGTTAATAACTATATATAGACCGTTCGCATTTGTAATGAGCAACATTTGATAGAAAACCTTCTCAATTGATAAATGAAATACTTAATTACCTCGAACGTCGGCAAAAAGCCTATACATCCCTCGGGCCTGCGGCCCTCGGGATGTATATGGCTTATTGCCTCCGTTCTCGGTAATTAACTCTTACAAAATGCAGACGCGCGCCAACAAACGCGGGAGCTCTCGCTAAGTCAATAAGCTCAAACCATGAAAGCTGTTTTCTAGGGTACGCTCAAAATGCATCATTTTTAGGTGGAAAACTAAAGGAAAGGGAACTTTTAGAAAAACGTTAAGAAAAAATCTTCGGTACCTCTTACTGTCTGATATTTCTATTTTTAGATTCAAACACTTCTGTCCTCAGCTTTTACCTGACAACCGGTATTACTCCAATTTTGCTTTCCCTCGTCCCAATACAAACAGTTGACCACATTGACTGTTACATTAAAGATGACAGAGGTATTTCTCTTCTCATCACACGAAATGTTTCGGGATCTATCCCGTGAGATCCCGAGAAAGTAATCCCCAGTCCCGTTAAGCATTTCACTTGTAAGTAAAGTCTTAAATGTTCCATTCATTTGACTTATTTTCCAGGAATGGTTGTGTTCCACGAAGTCCGGATGGTTGTTTTTTCTCCACATCAAAATGCAATGGCTGTAATGTTTGGTGTCTTGTGAGGAACAGTTTGCTTCCAGGTAAATAGATGCGTCTTCTTCCGTTACTTTGATTTTATATACTGTAATGTTTATACATTGTTCGTGATCCAGAACACCGCTGATGTTGCTTTGGAGCTCTGTTGTTTTAGCATTATTCAAGAAAATAGAAATAGGCTGGGACAAATTATTGATAGGAATGGGATTGCCACTTGGGTCTTGTAGCTCTAGACTCGATACTTGACTGTTAATCGGCGTTAGGCCTTGGTTTGGGAAAGGCGACTCCTTGACTGTCAAAACCTGTGGAAGCCAAGAAAATCGTCGGAATGTTTATTTTTTTTATAGATTGAAAAGAATTAACCCTTTAACTCACTCATTTTTTTTATTCATTTCATTTCACTCAAGACACGCATGTCGACATTTATTTTGCCAGCATACATTTGTTTGTAAAAGTTGTAAGAACAACAACAACAACAAACAAAACAAAACAAAACAAAACAAAA